TCCCCAGACTCAGACCACTCAGGAAGAGAAGTGTCAAAAAGCAAGTGATGCTAATTCTAGCTTGAGGAGGGAAGTGCTTTGGGCTTCAACAGTTGCTATGAGACAAAAATCTTTAAAAGGCAGTGAGTAGTACAAATCGAGGATCCATCAGCAATCAATAGTCTCTGGGTGGTGCAAACAATTAATGTGCTAGGCTACTAACTGAAAGGTTGGAGGTTCAAGTCCACTTAAAGGAACTCCAGAAAAAAGACCTGGCATTCTAGTCCTGAAAAGAAAAAAAAAAAGCCACTGAAAACCCGGTGGAACATGGTTCTACTCTGACACACAGGGAGTCGCCAAGAATCAGACTCACCTCAATGGCATTTTTTTTTTTTTTAACGTAGATGACTCACTTAATTAAATGGTTTTGAGAAAACTGCATGCAAAATGGTGCCAAGTCAGAAAAGCAATGGGAAATGATGTTGCAAGGCCACCTGTATCTGCTATAAACAGACTAGCAAATGTAGTATTGAAGAGAGCGGACCTTGGTGCAAGAATATCAGGGTTCATATCTTGGCTATACTGTTTATTAATTTTGTCACCTTGGGCAAGTTATTTAACTATACTTTGTCTCAGTTTCCACATCTATAAAATGGGGATAATTGTAGTCACTGCCTCAGAGAGTTGTTACAAGATAGGAATTAGTTAACATCTGTACCCCACATAAATGAGTTCTCCAGAAGTGTTTATTAAAGAATGAATGACTTGCCCTGAACCCAGCAGAAGACAGGGCCCACAGGGGTCACTCAGTAACAGTTTCTTGACCAAGTGACACCACCACAGGTAGCACCTGTTTGATACCATATCTATGTCAGAGCAGGCTTCCAAAGGGTTTTTTTCTGGTTTGGTATTGTATGTGGAGAAAGCAGGGAGGCTGTTTTCCTCATGTTATACTTACATGCTTACATACTCAAAATCCTCCTATTAAGGGGTTCTGGCGTGGCACTGTAGGGTAAGCACTGGACTGTAACTACAAGGTCAGTGGTTCAAACCCACCAACCGCTCCTCAGAAACCCTATATAGGGTTGCTATGAGTTGCAACTGACTAGATGACATTTACCAACAACAAGAAGAACTGAGTTTATTGGTTTAATATATTGTTTACTAAATTATAGCATACATATGTATGCAAATTCCATGCATTTTGCACTCAATACATGATGCCTTTAATGTAGTAATAGAGTTTGTTAGGACTCAATGTACAAAGCAAAAACCAAGTCTTAACTATTAGGGTCTGCCTTCTTGGGTTGAGCAAATGGTTAACTTGTTTGGCTAATAACTGAAAAGTTAGCAGTTTGTGTCCAGCCAGAGGTACCTTGGGGAAAAAGCTTGGTAACTGATGATCTACTTAAGAAAAATCAGCCACTAAAAACCCTATGGAATACAGTTCTACTTGGACACACATGGGGTCGCTATGAGCAGGAATTGAGTCATTGGTGACTGGTTAGGTTTTCTTTAAATAAGTGAATTCTCATACTAGTACCAAAACCAAAATAGGAAACTAAGGCCCCAAACAGAATTTATAATACTGTGTCCCCAAAGAGCAGCACAGGAGAAACGGGATCAGGCAGCCATTAGAGTCGCTGAATCCCAGGGTCACACACAGCTCTGTACACAGTGGGTCATCAGTATCTAATTGTTGAATTTGGCACATGAATTGTTAGTAATAATGACATCGTAAATCTGTCCCTCAATAGCGGTGTGATGTTTCTTGGGGTCCATTCTAACTTTGCTTATTTTCTAGTCTATTTTAGAAATTATTTCAAAGAAAGCTGGGCAGGGGAAAAAAGCTGGAATACTGACCAAGCAAAGGAAAGGTAGCTTAGAAGTTCTATAAAAGATGAATTACTTTTCTGGATTTCCGGACTGGGTATTGTGTGCCAAATGGTACAGAAGAAGTATGATGTCCTTACAAGGACCTAGGGCAAGTAGGGAAGACTGCATTACAGGACCGATCCCCCATGAAACACATCTCCCAGTATCAATGTTCTTGCAAACTTCCCTTCCACTATGACTCAGGGTTGGCCATGTGCCTTGCGGTGATCAGAGATAATATCAGCAAAGGTCTGAAAAGCACTTGTGCATTGGGGTGTTCCCTCTGGGATGCTGTCCTGGTATTACAAAACTATGAGGAGGTCCAAATAAAAGACCAGGTGGAGAGTGGGTCCCAACTGAACCATCAGCTCAATGCAGTTGCCTGAGTGAACACAGGCGAGACCAGCAGAAGAACTTCTCAGCTAACCCACAGAATCATGAGAGGCAGTAAAAGATGTTGTTCTGTCCTAGGTTTGAGGTGCTTTCTTATGTAGCAAAGATGAACTAAAGCTGCCTTTACCATAGTAAATTCATCAGATCCTGAAGCTTTTAAAATGCAATCCAGTCTGAGTAACAAAGTCTGACCGACATTTGAAATATTGGTCACACAGAGATAGCATGAGGGTAAGAAGCAGTAGCATTCTGTAGGGCTATCCCATACAGGCCCAAACCCCAGAGTTGCCTTTGAGTTGATTCTGACTCATGACAATCCCCTGAGCATCAGATTAAAGCTGTGCTTCATAGTATTTTTAATGGATGATTATTTTGGAAAGAGATCATCAGTCCTTTCTTCTAAGGTGCCCCTGGGTGGATTCAAGTCTTGAACCTTTTGGTTAAGAGCCGAGAGCATTAACCGCATGGCAGAGATGGAGATTTGGCAGGTCCTGCACCCCAGCCATCAACAGAGGCAAATAACTGTTACTACTTAGCTCCTCTACTCCCCATCTCTGTACGTAGAAGTATATCAGCCACCTCTCAAAGTCTATGTGCTTTGGACAAAGTACATTATTTAAGTGGCTCCATGTGGAAAGCTTACATTTTATCAGTCACTGACCACCAAACACCAACTATCTTAGTTCCTAGTGTGGCACTGTGGGTTAATGCGCCAGACTGCAAAGCCATTTGAACTGCAAGGTTGGCGGTTCAAGCTCACCAGCTGCTCCTCAGAAACCCTATACAGGGTTGCTATGGATCAGAATCGACTTGACGGCACTTAACAACAATAATGTCATTATAATCATACATTAGGGGGAATATGAAGCTGCTTTATATCTTACTGTATAATAATAGTAGTTCTTTTTCTTTCTTAGTTGACAGAGGGAGAAATACTTAAAGCTGGAATGGTGCTTGATTTATGGCAAGTGAAATTCTAAGCAATTGATTCAATGAACAGAATACTGAGGGCAGAGTTCAAAGGAGCAAGAAGCACATCTAATTAGAGACTGATCATTGCTTGAAAAGGAGGACTGACAGAGTCAGGCTGGCAAGCCACACTAACATCCCTTTGGCTCTCTGATCACAGTGCACCCCAGTCTTCCTTGGCGCTGCTTAGCAACACCAGCTCTGCAGTGAAACTGACAAGCGCTGGAAAAAATGGTTCATTCAGAGCCTGCTGCAATTGTCTATTCCTTTCAGAATGGGCTAGTGTTTGTGCCTGAAAGGGGCTAATGTTGTTTAGGATAGCTTCATTTTATTTATGGAGTGACCCCTTCATAAGGCTTTTCATGTGAAGAGAAAAATTGAAGCTTTTTATGATCAAAAGCATTCCATAATTTAAAGATGTGTACAGATAACCATGACCCGCATTCTCAACATCTCTTCCTAGTAAGGGGGAGTGGGGGGTCTTCCCCTTTATTCTGAACACAAAGGAGGAGAGTAAAACAGCCTGAGATCCTGTTTTTATTGTGTCAAAACCAAAACCCCACTGTCATCTAGTTGATTCTGATTCAGTGACCCTATATGAGGATTCTGAGATTGTAAATCTTTACAGAAGCACACAGACTCTTCTTTCTGCTGAACAGTGGCTGGTGGGGTTGAACCACTGACTTTGTGGTTAGCAACCCAGTACCTAATCCACAATACCACCAAGGATCCTTTTTACCATCTTGGCAGAGGACATTGGCTATTTCAGTTAATCCTAAAGAGGGCTGTATTTATCATGAAAAATCTGAGGGACGCTTGACGAACTATAACAGCAAACAGCATCTTTACCACATACAATTTGCTTAAATATTACAAGGGTACTGCTTACTTTCCAGTTTCTCTTGAGATTGCTAGACCAACCCAGAGTCCAGTGCTACTTTCTGACTACAGGAATAGATACTGTTTATGGAAAATTCTGGAAGGAGAGCACAGAACAACAGTGGAAGCAAAACTGTACTTCAGTGATTGCCACATAAAAGCTAGTTTCTTTTGTAATTTACCAAGCAAGGGAAGCTCTGCTGTTGGTTATCAGTGCCTTTCTTTGGCAATTACTTTGTAATGTCTCAATAGTTCTCAGCACAATTCTTGATCTGATATTAAAAGTCACTTCCAACCAGGCCATTTAGTTTTGCTGATTCCATGAAGTAGTCTCTGAAATAATGCCTTGGGGTAATTACAACCAGAGTTATATAAGCTATTTTACTCTCCCACATTTAAAACTGTCAGTAAAGGTACACCTAATTGGTTTCCTGGTTCCTTGATACATCCATCCATCCATACACCCACCCATCCATCACACATCCATCCATTAGTTCAAGATCCCCAACTGTATGCAGATTTGTGTAAAAAGTCATGAAAGAAATAAAAGGCATATGTCTTGGTCTACCAAAGGATATCATGTTTGGTAGGGTGGAGGGTCAGAGAAAAAGAGAAAGACCCCAAGCGAGATGGATTAGCCAAGTGGCAGCATCAATGGGCTCAAGCATGGTAACAATAGTGAGGTTGGCCCAGGATTGGGCAGTTTCGTTCTGCTGTGCATAAGGTCACAATGAGTCGGTACCGACTCGATGGCACCTAACAACAACAACAACAACCACCACCAAAGTCCAGGTGGCACATCAAAATGCCTGTGAAATTTTTTTTTAAAAAAAAGGAGCATAAGCAATGACAAGACTGGTAAGGGATTTTTTTTTCCTTTGACATTATCACCTTCCTTCCTTTACCTTGCTCTGATGGGTTGAGATCCTAGTCTGGGTCCCAGAGCACTACCATTTCCAGGAGAATTCTTTCTGGCTAATGCTGGGGAAATAGAAGTTGTTCTTTGAGGCACCTGGAAGAAAATAAGAAGTAAGAAAATATTTTCCATAAAATAATAATTTCCATAGGCTTCTGCCTGAAAAGCCTACTCCTCTCCCAAGGTTTTCTAAGCATTACAGAAATTACCTAAAACAGGGAAAATTCTTTTAATTCCTCCATGAAATATTTATCTCCTTAAATAATATCAAACAAGAGTCCACAGACACAAGGCAGTGAGACATATTCAGCAACCATTTAGAAGACCATCCACAATTTTAAAGACAGATGCAATGGAATCAAAACTATTAGCTTAAAATTGCTTGATTCATTGGGCTAAAAATAATTGATCTCCATTGAATCTAGGATGAATATCAGAAATCTCTTTTGGGTACCATTAATTCAGTTCATCCTTAGATGCTGCAAAAGATGTGAGCCACCCACATTAAGACAAGCACCATTTTTAGCTGACTTTCTAACTAATAAACAAATAAGGAAATTATAAAATATGATGAAAAATCAGGGTACAGGATAGAACTTGGGATATAAGTCACATGCCAGGGACCTCAGAGAACATACTGCATTAGATTCTCAGTATTCCTACTTCCTAATTAACCTATCTCTACATGTCTGTGTTGGTGTGGCACTGTGGGTTAATGTGTCAGACTGCAAAACCATTTGAACTACAAGGTAAGCAGTTCAAGCTCACCAGCTGCTCCTCGGAAACCCTATACAGGGTTGCTATGGATCGGAATCAACTCAATGGCACTTAACAACAACATGTCTGTCAGTTTATCCTACTGTTGTGGCTTGTGTGTTGCTGGATGCTATGCCACAGATGATTCAAATGCCAGTATGGGCACACATGGTAGACAGGCTTAAGCAGAGCTTTCATGATAGGAACAGATTATGAATAAGCAATAGGCAGTCCACTTCTAAAAGATTAGCCATTAAAAACCTTTTAAATATAAGCAGAACCTTGTTTGATATAGTGCCAGAAGATAAGCCCGTCAGGTTGAAAGGAACTAAGGAAGAGATGCCTCTTCCAAGTAGAATTCACCTTAATGACATGCATGGAGCAAAGCTTTCAGGATTTGCTGATGGGGAACAACTCAAAATGAGGCGAAACAACTATAAGCACATATTAATAATCGGAATGTAGAATGCTCAAAGCATGAATGTAGGAAAACAGGAAGTTGCTGAAAATGAAATAGAACACAAAAGATCAGTATCCTAGACCTAAGTGACTTTATGAATTGGCCATTTAAAATCAGACAATCATATGATTTACTATGCCAGGAACAACAAATTCAGAGGAATGGCATCACATTCATAATAAAAAACATTTCAAGATCTATCTTGGAGTACAATGTTGTCTGTGATAGGATAATATCTATATATCTACAAGGAAGACCAGTTAATACAACTATTATCTAAATTTATGCACCAAGTGCTAAAGTCAGTAATGATGAAACTGAAGAATTGTATCAACTTCTTCACTCTGAAATTGATCAAACATGTAATCATGATGCACTGATAATTACTGGTGATTGGAATGTGAAAGCTGGAAACAAATGGTAAGGATCAATAGTGGGAAAATAAGGCCTTGGTGATAGAAATGATGCTGGAGATTGCAGAATTTTGTAAGATCAATGCTTTATTCATTGCAAATACTTTTCAACAACATAAAAGGTGACTAAACACGTGGACCTTGCTAGATGGAATACACAAGAATCAAATTGAATACATCTATGGGGAGAGATGATGGAGAAGCTCAATATCATCAGCCAAAATAAGGTCAGGGGAAGTCTTTGGAACAATCAATTGTTCATATGCATATTCAAGCTGATGCTGAAGAAGATGAAAACAAGTCCATGAGAGTCCAAATATGATCTTTGAATATATCCCACCTGAATTTAGAGTACATCTCAAGAACAGATTTGATGCATTAGACACTAATGACTAAAGATAAGAAGAGTGTGGAATGATATCAAAAAATCATACAGTAAGAAAGCAAGAGGTCATTAAAAAGGCAGAAAAGCAAGAAAAGACTAACGTGGATGTCTGAAGAGGCTTTGAAACTTGAACTTGAACAGAAGTGAATGGAAGAAATGATGACATAAAAGAGTTGAACAGAAAATTTCAAAGGGTAGCACAAGAAGACAAAGTGAAATATTAATAGTAAAATGTGCAAAGACCTGGAGTTAGAAAATTAAAAGAATCCATCCAGCATTTTTCAAGATGAAAGAATTAAGGAAATATAATAATTCAAGTCTTGAGTTGAAATATTGAAGGGTTAATAGGCAAACTATTGAAATATGTAGGAAATATGAAATGAAGATAGAAGGAATATCATTATACCAAAAAGAATTGGTCAATGCTATACCATTTCTAGAGGTAGCATATGATCAATCAAGAACCTATAGTACTGAAGGAAGAAGTCCACACTGCACTGATGCATTAGTGAAGAACAAGCCTCCAGAAACTGATGGAATACTAAATGAAATATTTCAATAGACTGATGCAGCGCAGAAAGCACTCACAAATCTATGCCAAACTTGGAAGACAACCAACCGATGGAAGAGATCCATATGTGTTTCCATTCCAAAAAAGGTGACCTAACAGAACACAGAAATCATTAATATCACATATAAGCAAAGTTTTACTGAAGATAATTTAAAAATGGTTGGCAGTACAATGGCAGGGAGCTGCCAGAAATTCAAGCAGGATTTAGAAGAGGCTGTGGAAGAAGAGGTATCATTGATGATGTCAGATGGAACTTGGCTGAAAGCAAAGAATACTAGAAAGGTATTTACTTGTGTTTTACTGACTATGTAAAGACATCTGTGTGGATCATAACAAACTATGGGTGGCATTGTGAAAATGGGAATGCCAGAACATTTAAACGTGCTTATGGAGAACCTCTACATAGAACAAAAGGCAGTATTTGACCGAACAAAGGGATACTGCAGAGTTTAAAATCAGCAAAGGTGTGTGTCAGAGTTGTATCTTTTCACACACTTATTCAATCTATATGCTGAACAAATAATCTGATAAACTAGACTATATGAACAAGAAAGCTGCATTAGGATTGGAGAAGGCTCACTAACAACTTGCGATATATGATGCTATAATCTTGCTTGCTGGAAGTGAAAAGGACTTGAGGCACTTGCTGATGAAGATCAAAGACTGCAGCCTTCAGTATGCACTACCACTCCATGTAAAGAAAATCAAAATCATAGCAACTGGACCAATAAACAACATCAGGATAAATGGGTAAAAGACTGAAGTCACCAAGGATTTTATTCTACTTGGAGCTACAATCAATCCTTAAGGAAGCAGCAATCAAGAAATCAAATGGCATATTGCTTTGGGCAAAACTGCTGCAAAAGATATCTTTAAAGTGTTACAGAAAGAGCAAAGATGTCATTTGAAGACTAAGATAGGCCTGACTCAAATCATGGTATTCTCAATCACCTTATACACATGAAAGCTTGACAATGAATAAGGAAGACCAGAGAAGAATTGATGCATTTGAATTATAGCGTTCACGCAGAACAAAAAAATCCATCTTGGAAGAAGTTCAGCCAGAATGTTCCTTAGAAGTGAGGATGGTGAGACTATCTCATGTATTTTGGACACTTTACCAGGAGGGACCAATCCCTGTAAAAGGACATCAATCCTTGAAAAACCCTGAGAAAGTAGTGGGTCATAAAAAAGAGGATGATCCCCCAATGAAATTGATTGGCACAGTGATTGCAACAATGGGCTCAAACATAACAATTGTGAGGAAGGCAAAGGATCAGGAAATGTTTTGTTCTGCTATTCATAAGGTCACTATGAGTCAGAGCAGACTAGAGGGCACCTTACAATAACAATTAAGCTACAATCTCTTATTCAAAAAGAAAACAAAATGTTTCAGCTTGGAAGATTGATGAACAAATGCAATATAAAACAGATTAATATGGAAAATACTGGAAGGGTCTCCAATAAGACTGTGTGAGTAGCTGTGAGATATGATAGGAAAATGAATTACTAGCTCATTAGCAAAGGCCTACACTATTGAAAGTGCCATGGGCTGCCAAAAGAACCATTTGTGTTGGAAGAAGTGTAGCCAGAATGTTCCTTGGAGGCCAGGATGGCCAAACTTCATCTCTCATACTTGAGACATATTGTCAGGAGGGACCCGTCACTGGAGAAGGATATCATGTTTGGTAAGGTGGAGGTTCAGAGATAAAGAGGAAGACCCCCAGCAAGATGGATTGGCAAAGTGGCAGCATCAATGGGCTCAAGTGTGGCAACAATTGTGAGGTTGGCTCAGGAAACACTAGAATTCAAGTACAGAAACACAGCTAAATGAAATTAAATATGCATAGACCAAATGAGTCCATTAGCTTAAGGAATAAAGTTACGAATCCTAGTTAAAAAAAATTACTTTTCTCCCCACCTAACCTTTTCTGGTGATATCAGTAGTTTCACAAAGGATGGACATCAACAAAAAAGGCATTATAAACTGTATTCATTTTAAAATAGTGAAATTCCTGTATGAGGGGGGAAAACCAAGAAAAATATTTTAAAACACTGAGTGAAAAGAATGATGTTTTCTGGAATCAATAATGCTATTGTTTTCTGACATAGGCATGGATTTCCATTTACTATATCATTTAGACTGCACTCAGGAGAAAGGGAATTCCTGAACCAGGAAGAATTGATTGCAAAAATGTATTTGGTATTTAACAAAATTTCAAATTCTCAATAGAATCCAGACTTTCTAGGGCCACTGAAGCTGGATGAGCTCCTGACACTATTGTGATGATGTAACCTTTAAACCAAAAAATACTTTACCTTAGTAAGTAAAGTATGCCCACCCTTGAGAATTAAGCTCCTTTACAGAACTCATTGTGGGATCTCAAATTGGTAGCAGCAACTTGAAAGGTTACATTAGAAGCTTAGGGGACAGCGAGACCCAAGGAATAGTGGTAGAACAATTTGGAGGAGAATGTGAGAATATTGGTACAACCTGAAGAATGTAACCAATGTTACTGAACTGTACATGTAAAAATTTTATACATTTTTTAAATATGTGGTATTTTATAAGATTTCCAGATTGTTTGTAGCCACATGCACAACCCTGAAACGACTACTGCTCTAGTGTAGACAAAACCAAAACAAAATAATCAAACCTAGGACTGTTCTATCTAGTGGAATGGCTGGTAATTTCACTATACAGTTCCATCCTTAATAATTAATTATGGTTGGAATTAAGTTATGACCTGGCATCCAAATAGCCTTACTTGAATAGGGTCAAGTAAAATATCCCACAAGCAATATTATCTTTTGAACACTTGAAATATGGTTTAACATCATGTTGATAAAAAGTAGGGATAACTGAAATCTGGAAATTTTCAATTTGGCTAGATACAGATTTAGTCAGTTATGAATACATACATTATTCTATTTCTTAATATGGGATGGTATGGAAATAATTATATAGAAAGTTTGGAGATGAAAGCTCTAATTCTGAATTAAGGGTATATGTTTCCAAGCCATTCAATCTACCTGAATCTAAAATTCAAAGAAATTTCCTTAATTTCTTTGTGGTAAATGATACATGACAATCTAAGCCGTAGCTTTGGGAGAAGGGGTGACCTAAACAAACGGGAAAAGGGCAAGGTGCTTTGGCATTATCCCAGTCTTCATTATCATGGAAGGTTTGCAATGGCAGTGACGGTGAAGATGATGTTAATAAAACTACCCAGTAGTACTACCTTTGGTGGAATGTCTTCTTCCTGTCGTAACCAAGAGCTTCGGTCAAACTTTTCAACGCGAGTGGGGAGAGGAGGGTTTTCAGAAGTGGGATCTGAATTCTGGCGTGGCATCTCAACACGATGTGAGGTCACATTTAGAGCCTCCTGGAACCCGGAGAGACCCTTCGTGGGCTGCTCATGCACTGACTGGGAGGCAGTCAAGGCAGGTCCCTGGGATTTCACAGCCACCAGATGTGGGATCTATGCATTAGACCAACAACAGAACATGGTATTAAAAAAAAAAAATCAAATCAACCAGTATCTCAATCAACTGAAGGACAAATAAAGTTATAGGATACAAGGACTGGACTTTATAAAGCTCATCACAGATGTTTACTGAATGCTTTTGAAAAGTTCTTCCAAATTTTCAATTTAGAGCTATGTGTAGCGCTGACCCAGGGTCCCTGACACAAAGTTGACTGATGTACTTGAGACAGCTACCAAGTTAGTGAAATCAGAATTATGATAATAACATAACTATAGTTCGTACACATTTACTGACAGCAACGCAGTGTTTTATAGGAACTTGGCTTTTAATCTGGCTAACTTCCTTCCTTAAAACTTGTAACCTTGACTTGACAGCTTGCTCCTGCTCTACAGAACAAGAACTGCACTTAATTTCAAATCCATTAAGTCCACCAAAAGGTAGACATACATATTATTTTCCATGTGAGTAATATTAAAGTAGAATTCCTGGTGGGGCACTGTGGGATAAAACAGTGGACCACAAGGTCAGTGTGAACAACATGGTCGGCAGTTCAAATTCACTAGTTACTCCTTGGGAACCCTATGGGTCACTATGAGTCGGAATGGACTCGATGGCACTTAACAACAATATAAAGTAGAGCAGATTCACAGTGCATGAGTGCCGTAGCCTGATCTGACTCCAGGTATTGTACTCCCAGAGCTCAAATGCCTAACTCTTCTTTCTAGTTAACTGGCTCTTACTATCTTACCATTTACGGTATCTCTCTTGCCAGTCTCTTTTGTTGGTTCAGAGTTGTAAATCTCCTGACCTGGCATATGCTGGTATTGTTCATGCAAGGAAGACATACATTTTCAGAGGAAATGTGGCTTTTTGAGACAAATATTGAACTCTACAGTGCAGTGCCTGCTCTCCCTGTCATTACCACTTTTTTACCTCCTGTTCAAACAGCCTACTTTCAAAAGTAACCTCAGAAATGTTTGTGGTAGATGTCTGAAAGAATTTAAGACATTTTGGTGAAGGTAGCCATAGTACCCCTTTTTCTAAAAAATGTAATTCCACACTTGAATTCATTTCATATTTCATTTTAAAAGTCCTCTAAGATTTTCTGAAACTTCTTCCTCTCAAAAAAGTGGAGTAAAACAAAAAAAGTGGTGTAATACTTTCCTTTCCAAATTGCTTCAGTGACTGTCAAACTTGAATGTGTATTGGAAACACCTGGAGGAGTGGTAAACTTGTTAAGTACCAGGCTGTGGGGCCCCACCCAAGACTGTCTGATCAGTAAAGCCTGACAAATCTGTATTTCTCTCAAGCTCCTGGGTAGTGCACATCCTGCTGGTCCAGTGACCACACTTTGAGAACCACTGTCTTAGGAAACAGAATGTAATGCTTCCGGTTTCAGGCTCATGCCACGATACCAAAGAACAAAGCTAACACAATAGTTACCACATGCATTGGTGCAGATTTATTTAGTTTGGGGATTATAAGAGAATGCTTATGTCCACCTTTCAGCAACTCCTTTGGATTTCCAGAGGCCAGTTGACCAAGACGTGACTCTATAGTTGACCTTTAGAGTCATGATGGTACGTTCTTCTTTCCCCTCTTCCTCTACCTTGGTTCGAACTGGCCACCTTTCAGTTAGCAGCACTGTACCACCAGGGCTCCTTTCTAATTCAATGGGGCCTTCTACAGAGTTGACTCTTAACAATGAGGGGCTTAGAGGCATCAACCTCCCACATGATCAAAAGTCTGTGTCTAATTTCCAGTTGACTCTTGAGTAACCCAGACTTGAACAGAGTGGGCTCACGTGTACCTGGATTTTTTTTCCCCTGTTGCTACTGTTGTGAGTATCCATTTAAATGCCCTGCGATGCTAATCACCTCCACAGGAACGGCTTCCTTCTCCAGTTAGGGACTAACAGTTACTGGAGGGATGAACTGCTCATGTGGAGATGATTAGCATCATAAGGCATTTTAAGAGGATACTCGCAATCTTGAGTTTACTGCAATCACTGAATGAAATATCCGCGTTTAAAAAAAAAAAAAAATCTGCCTATAAGTGGACCCGTGCAGTGAGTTCAAATTGGTGTTGTTGAAGGGTCAGCTGTTCATATTTTAAGAGCCTGGATTTGATTGGTATTAGTCTGGACTCCTGGTGTGGCACTGTAGGATCAGCACTGGATTGTGAACCCCAAGGTCATTAGTTCAAACCCACATTTGCTTGTTGGAAACCCTAGAGAGGGGTTGCTATGAGCTGGAATCAACTCAATGTCACTTAACAACAGCAGCCTAAATTCATGTTACAATTTCCTGGGCTTTTACTAATTTCTACCCTACATCCTATTGTAATGTCTGATGGAATGAAAGGGAGAAAGTACCTGAGGATCCACTGGTCTGAGCATGGGAGGTGTCCGAGCAGGCTGAACCCCACTGATGCTGAAGGACTCGGACCTTGGGGGCAGGTTAGGGTCAGATATCCTGTTGGCAACCTTATGAGGCATAGCAGGTGAACTCTGCCTGTTGAGCCTTGAACGTTCTTCTACCTAGAAGCAAGAAAAGGAGAGCCCCAGTGAAGAGAAGCTGATTTCTGTCCTTGCATGCTTTTCCTACAGTCCCCTGCACAGCCATTTTTATGCCCTTCTGATCAATTCATTTTAAGAAGCTGAAATCTCCATTCCTGCTCTACACCCAGAATTTGAAAAATTCTCTTTTCTATGAGAAGAACACTAGCAAAAATAACACAATACATCACGCTGCAACTATGACCCTTCCATTAGCCATTACCTTTTGCAATTTTAGGTAGCTGGGAATTTAGGATCTGCTTAAGAGGGGATCTTGCATTAATTGTGATATTATCTTGCCAATTGGTTGCAAAGCCATGGGGTCAGCAAAGGTGAGGAAGCTGTGGTAGGCATGCAGATTGCTTTGGGGAAAATAGAACTTTGCTTTGGGTTGGTATGCTTCCTGACTCATGGCATAGGGAGGGGAAGAACAATTCAGGGGCTGCTGAAGAGAGGATGAAGTTTGGTGCACTAACCCTCCATTTCTTCACATGCCTGGCTGACAGGCAGGTGGGTGTTTCTGGTATCATCTTAATGAGCATGACCTATCTTAAATAGACTTCCTGTATCATTTTCTTTTTGTCTCTTTGGGGTACTTTCTCTTCGGTTGTCACTCCCTGCTCCTGAAAATACACTGCTCCTCCTCATTCTTTCCATTACCAGCTTGGACCCCACTGCTTCGCTCTCCCCGTTCTTCCCCCTGCTTTTCCACACAGTGTTCTTGCTTCTCCGTCCATTTCTCTCCCTACTTCAGCCCTTTCTCCTCTCAGACCATTTCATCTCCTTGTCATTCCCTTTCTTCCAGAATCTCTCTCAGGCCAAACAGGTAACTGATCTGAAGTGCTACATCAGGAAGGCACATGGTGAAGTGTGATCAGAGAATGCCCTTTTTACAGGTAAAACGTACCCTTAGCACTTGCTTACAGCAGGCAGAGTGCCACAGAGGACAATTTGAAAGGGAATTTACATAAACAAGATACACACTGAGCTCTTCAACAACTTCAAGAGCCTAGGACTATTCTCCCAGATCTATCTTGTCTTGTCTTTTATTTTTTATAAAGGGTCACTTTGGCCCTTTATTATTCTCCACTTTCACCAGGACAATGCATGTTCTCTGCACCTTACTGACCCTTCAGTGTGAGCGCCTCGATGCTCCTCTGATGAGTCATGGTCTGGGTACTGTGAGTGTCTAGGTACTCAATATTCAGGTCTGTCTACATATTTTTGGATAACAGCTGAGGACTTTTAATGTTTTTACTGCCTGATTTGAAATAAAATTTCAAAAGAACTTTTTGCTCTGATTTCTTTACCCCATTTTAATCTTTTTGGAGGCAGAATCAGTTTCCTACACAGAATACATCTTTTCCTTAAATTGTCATACTACCTGGAAACATTTTAAAACATAGATACAGGATTGAAAAGAAAACAGCCCTCTTGCCTTTTCTGAGGGGTATTTTGCACATCACTTCCCCCACCATGGCTGTGCAAGGGACATACAACTAGTTGTCATACAGTTGACTTTGGTTTTGAAATTCCATAGCCCAGAAACTTACCACATACCAAATAAGATTAGCAGCAAAAAGCCAGGCGTATAAACCAGAACATATATACTTTGTACGCGTGCGTGAGTGTATGCACACAAAGTATGGCACCAGCAAGAACTATCTGACCATTGCAATGAACAAAAGCACAAAGCCAGTTTAGAGATAAGACCACAAAGAAGATGAATCCCACAAAGACAGCAATAGATAAGCTTGAGACAGAGACATGCAGTGTATTGCTTTTCCAAGTGATCAGACTCTCTGGAAATAAGGTAAAGATTTCTAGGCCACTGAAGTAGTCAAATATTAGCCATTTACCAATGTGCAGGGAAGACTGTTCCTTGTCTTCATAGCACATGGATCACACGTACAAGTACCCCTTGCTATGTGAACTTCTGCTATCAAACCCACCAGAGTCTGGGCTCAGCAACTTGAGAATCAGAGACATTTTCAGATACACAACTATTCAAACTCTAGCCACTTTTCACTTGAAATTCAGGAACCAAATATATTCAGATATTGAGGAATATTTATAGTTATTTTTAACTGTAAGACATACTCGGGCAGCTTAACCCTTTTGTGACCTGTGGGCCATATATTGCCCACTAACATTTTCAACCTCTCAGGTTTGCAAGTGGCTATCCCAGCTGTAGTACATGCTGCTGCCTGGCGGGGACCAGTGTAAATGTGCGAATGTGAAGAAGTGGGCCTCATTTCACCAGTCCCTTCCACCAGAATTCACTTGGGACACATGTGCCCCATATAACTGATTCAAAATCCCTATTACCTCAAAAAATCTTTTCCCTTGATTTCAGCATACCTTCCATTAATAAAGACACACATGATATCAGCAAAAATATCAAAGCAGAATAGAATTCATTCACAAAAGGGTTAAGACATACACAAAGAGACAGCACATTAAAAATGAAAGTAGAAAATTCTGCCCCATAAGACTCCATCTTGGACAAAGATGACAAATTAATTCTTTATTCAGGATCCAAGTCTACCTAACAAAGAAACATCCTCACCTTTGACAGTGCCCAGGCCACAAGGGACCTTAGAGTGGCCAGCAGCCCTAGAGCAGGGCAGAAGGCAGGACACAGATTTTCATAGGCATCCATGGGTTTCATGAGTTGTGTATACTTGTTACTAATGTGCTTCCAGTATAGAAATAACAAGGAACCCAAACTTTACTAAAATGTCCTGTGCTATCTATCAGTTAATTTATATACTAACGCCCACCCTTACTGTGTTTCAGTCTGTACCATTCTAAACCATATGAAACAATCTATTATTTTTATAAAACCCAGCAAACGCAAAGTTGTTATAGTCCAGTTAATTTCAAAGCATGGCAACCTCATGTGTTACAGACTAGAACTGTTCCATAAGGTTCTCTTGGATGTAATTGTTTCAGAAGCAAATCACTAGGTCTTTCTTCCATGGTGCCACTGGGTAGATTGGAACCACCAACTTTTAAGTCAGTTTTTGTTGTTAAGTGCCATTGAGTAGGTTCTGACACATAGCGACCCAATATGGGGTTTCTGAGGAGCAGCTGGTGGGTTTGAATAGTTGATCTTGTGGTTCTTCGTCCAGTGCTGATCCTACAGTGCTACACCAGTAAGTAGTCATTTGCAAACTGCTTGTGGCACCCAGAGACCTAATCTATGAATGTTGTTGTTCTTGTTGTGTGCCATCGAGCTAGTTCTGACCCATAGCGACCCTGTATAGGGTTTCCAAGGAGTAACTGGTGAGCCTGAACTGCCGACCTTGTGGTTCAAACTGACTTTGCAGTCTAGCGCATTAACCCATAGTGCCACACCAGGACTCCAATCTATGAATACACTTTGCAAATTATTTCAGGAATGGTCAAATGTACTAGGCTGGAGTTTGGAGTTTGTCCAAAGGAATCTGTAGAAGTCCAAGAAGGGTACATCAATGAGGCATCTAGCTATACACTTTGTCTTAAGATCATCTTGTCCTAAAGCCTTTAGAAAGTTAATGCTGTCCAAGTGCTTCTGCACCAAAGGGATCTCTTCAGTACTCGAACAAAGATACCAAACCAAACCCTGGAAGAGGTACTTGTCCTAATGATCGTTTTACAGATGGAGAGAGGAGAAAGCTGAATTGTGGTACAGCTAGGAGTGAGCCCTTCAGATTATTTTGATATCGTCAAAAGTCTGTCCCTGAACCATCACAATTTATATCTCTTAAGTGAATAGTAGATATGTGAGAAAAAACAAACATTTTTCCCAGCTGTAATTCAAACATGTGTTAATCTGATTCATACAAGTAGGCTACCCAAAGAAATCTATCAGCCAAATCTTCACTCCAACCTCCTACTGCCAATAGGACATAAATATCAGCACCACCAAAAAAAAGGTATTGGAGTGGCATTGTAGGATACGCACTAGACTGTTAACCATAAAGCTGGTGGTTCAAATAATCCACCAGCCATTCCTTGGAAACCTTATACAGGGTGGCTATGAGTTGGAGTCGACTCAACGGCACTTAACAACAACAATGTCAGAGTGCTAAACACACAAAGTGCTGGACCACACAAGGAAATTTATCTGCCACCAAAGAATTTCATAGTTGAAAGGGAAGATGAGATTGCTCAGAAAGAATTGAGATCAAGATTATGAGCCAGATATCAATTTCATTAAAAAACAAACACACACAATTTTTTCCTTAAAAGGACCATTTTAACAAAACTAACTTTGGAGAAGTCTGTATCATGTCACAGAAATGTCATACTACTAGCAGCATTATAAAACCCCACTTCTGTTGAATCAATTCCAACTCATATGAAGACTATATAGGGTTTCAGAGTTTGCAAATCTTTATGGGAACAGATAGCTTCATGTTTCTCCCTTTGAACGGGTTGGTGGGTTTGAACTACCAACATCATAGTTAGTAATCCAATGCCTATCCCACAGTGCCATCAGGGCTCTTTAGCATTATAGGGAGAAAGAAAATAAAAATGATCTCAGAGAAACAATTCTGCTCTAGGCTGAGCTATGTTGTCCATTGGCTAAACAAACAGAAGAGCAAAAAGTAAATTTTGCAGATTACAAAATTTCAGAAAAATCTTCAAAAAAAAAAAAAATATATTTAAATATGTATAAACATATTTAAGCATGCATAAAAAGAAATATTTCATCAATGAAAATTGCTATATGTTTTGAGGAATCAAAAATAATTTGCAGGTTACAATAATGAATATTTTGCAACAATGAGTATTTGTTGTAAAATAAAATCATAGAAGTAATGTCAAAACTATCAACAGCAAAAATACTACTTACTATTTATAAGTGCATTTTAATAATGGTTTATATGTTGTATGGTGAGTGGGGTCTATGAAGTTCTTAGAAGGCTTTATTTAAGAGCTAATGTATGGTGAATTTCACCACAATCATAGGAGAATTCCATTGTGCTTTTCAA